AGGTTAATTGGCTTACAAATGGCTTGGCTCTGACTTTGGAGCCAAAAGATCAGCTTAGCTTGGTCAATGCAAACCGTAAGCCGAGCCGAGCCATTTGCATCACTATCTTGGGGTAGTTAATCGATTGTTTACATCACGTGGCATCATCAGATGATTAGCCAATCAAACCAAAGAAATTACTACGGATCTGCCCGCCTAGACGGAATTTCTCGGAATTGTACTAGTTGAATGATTAATTTATTAGTTGTTTAAAATTTTTTCAAATCGACTAGTTGGAAAGTTGGCAACTAGTTGATTTTTCAACTAACGATTTGGAACACTACTCCGGACAATAAAGTTAAAGAGGCTAGCTTAACTAATATAATATATATATATATAAAGAAGATAGAATAGTTACGGTAGGTAGCTAATAGGGCTAAGCGGCCTGGTTTGAATCAAAACCCCAAAGTCAAAATTTCAAAAATCTGAATCTTAATTATCACGTCGCGTGATTAGTTACCATGATGACTAATCATAAGCGGAGTTTGAACCGACATCACGCGATGCGATAATTAAGATTCAGGATTTTGACCCAAACTCGTGTGCTTAGCTCCTGGTTCTGATCTTGGGACTGGTACGGCAGGTCACATCTGGGCACTCTACGGAACAGCTGGGTGAATCGTCATATTTGAGTTGGATAGGTAGAAACCAGTTTATCTGAGTAAGCCAATAAATATCTAATAAAGTTGATGGTGTGACTGCCAAAGTTAAAAAAAAAAAAAAAAGTTTAATATTTATACAACTAAGATTTTTTTCAGCAACTGAATTCTATACCGAATACAAATTTTCAATCATTCAACACTTGGTTCGAATAAAACCATCGCATAGGATTATCCAGCTACTCCAGCTTGTAATGTTTACATAAAATAGTTTTTTGCTAAAAAAACAAACCAATTAACTCATGATTCTTTTTTAAAAACATCGATAGAAATTTATGTGATAATTACAGCAACCTACCATAACGATAAATTAGGAGCAGCGTATACAGAAGCTGTATTTAACATGACAATAAGTTATATATCTTTTCATTATTATTTTTACTATTCTTCTATTTGTAAACCAAAGCCATTATATTCTTAAGAACTAACTTACAGAATAGAAGAAATATGGTCAACAGAGACCTTTGCGCCAGGGATGTCACGGGACAGCCTTTGGACAAAGTTTGGACATCTTGGAAATTTTTAAATATTAAAATTGCACAAATTTTATTAAAATAATCTATTTCAACTGTTTAAGTAAAAATTTTAGAATTATAATCATGTTTTTTTAAAAGATTTTTTTAATTATCAAAGCTTAGATGAGCTTTGGACACTTGAACGTTTGGACGTTGGACATGTCAAAAAAAAGGCTTTGGACGTCAAAAATGTACATCCCTGCCTTGTGCAATGTAATAATTCAAATAGCAGCAAATCCAAAAATTAATTCATTTTATATTTGGGTATCGCAAAACATTAATTTATTGTTCAGAATCTGATAAAGTCCGAAGCGAAAAATTAGCAAATCATCACGGGAACTTCAATTCTCGATTTTCATTGGTGGTTTCTGACAACCCTTGCATGAACATGCTCAAACGGAAGAATCTCGCTACACTTCGGACAAAACATTTTAGTTCTATTATGTATGTTATTAATATTTAAATATATTATGGCATGTGCATTTTAGTAATTTTCATTATTATAAGTTGCCGATAAATATTACTATTAAAGTTTTTCAACAAAAGTTTATCCGATTCCTTTTCCTTGTTTTGAATCTTACAAAAAAAAAAATAAAATAAAAAAATAAAATAAAATAAATAATTCATGGCTTGTTTCATAAATCACGCTGGAGAAATGCTTCAAAAATTAAAATATGCTTAGACTATTATGTCAAAATTGAACTAAGATAACGTTTTTTATTTTTGAAACAGCACAAAAAGTAGGTGATCATTAGTATTGCCCCCGAGCTTTGAAAACATCTCTCCAGGTCCATAATATGAATGTCGACATTTATTATTATCATCATCACTTAAAAAAAAGTTCAATGCATGATCTTTAAGCGCATGTTCTGTATTTAGTTTCTTAAACGCAATCCACCACAAATTATATTCGCACGTTCCAAAAAACAAACTTGTAGAATTCAAATGTTCTTAAACATTAACATCTGCATATAAAATTGTATATACAATATGTACAAATTATCTTAAAAGTTTAATATGGACAGATTTTCCTAAATATAACTCGCAAGAACAAAGTATTGCATTCAGAGATGTCTGGTTGCATAATTATTTGAATGTTTTTCATGAACTTAGCACCATCTCTATAATAATTCAATTGAAATCTAAGTTTTAATTAAATTAAAAAAATAAGAATTTTGTCAAAGAATACTATTCTTTATTGTGGTGCTGAAAAAATACATATGAATACAAGCGAAACAAGAACAATATTTTTAATAAATTATAGTCAAATCTATCTGAATGCACGTTCCATAAATGTGCTCTCTTTGGTTCAACTAATATAACACTTATAGACTTTTACCTCCCTAAATGTAATACCTCTTTAAATACACGATTGAGAAATTTCCATATATTCTTCTCGGAATCACATTTAAGGTTTGTATATTAAATACTTAACTCGAATATACATAAACTTTTTATCTAATATATATAGCTAAATTATAAATAAATCATGACCAAATTGTAAATATTTAGTTACAGTAAGAGATTAGCGCGTAGCGCGTACTGGATTGAACTAATCATATTATGTTCCCGAGCTTTTTCAAGAAATAGACTGGTAGGGATGATGAGTAATATCCGAATCTTCATGAAGGTATTATTTGTTTATTGTACCGAATAATTCTATACATGATTGCTGGTGACTAATATATATATACATGTATTCATATTTTTGTTATTATTCCCAAAGGACGTTATTTAATTTCAATTTTTTTCTAATTTTTTTTGTCAAAATTTTTAAAAAATTTACTTAGAAAAAAATATGGTATATTTCTATTAACTTATTCCATATGTTGCTTCTGGAATATCTACTGTCTGAAATCACATCTGACTAAATTAACCCTTAAAATTTAAAGTGGTTATTTCAGATACAACATAATCAGGGTTGTCACGTTTATGTTTTTTCTATTGGCTTATAATTCTATTCATTTTTTTTATTTTTCTATTGCAAATTTTGAGTATTAAATTTTACTAATTAAATATAAAAATATTTTAAGTTATTACTTTACTAATGCTCTAACAATATATGTTTAAATAATTGCAAATTATTAATAAAACAAAATTTTTTATATAAAGACCAAAAATTGAGCTTTTGTTCTATTGTTCTATTTGCCAACACTAAACATAATATATTTTTATGTTTACATGTAATTAATCGGTCTCGGTAACGCCATGACCGATATTATGCGTAGTGTTCTGCAGATGGTTACCCGAATTGGAACCGCAGGGGATTTTTAACATTTCGTCGTCAAGCAATTGGGTAATCATTGAGTCCCATCCTATTATTAACCAATTGCTTAACGGCGGAATGTTAAACATCCTCTGTGGTTCCAATTTGGATACCGTTTGTGGACACTAGTTATACGGTGACTTTTATATAAGTGCTGCCAAGGGAAAAGAGCACATTGGTTTTTTTAAGTATTTTATTGATTATTTATCTGATCCAGCCTTTCTGATTGATACACATCGGGCTTTTAATTACATAGTTCAAAATTGTGTATCGTATTGTTATTATATATTGTGATCAATTAATTTAAAGCCCGATGTGTCATAAATAATCAATAAAATACTTAAAAAAACCAGTGTGCTCTTTTCCCTTGGCAGCATTCATATGCACTAAGTACAATATACTTGCTGGAAAATCTCCAAAAATTACCAAAAAAAAAATCAAAATTTTGCAAATAATTATAAAATATATATACTATATATTGTTTTTAAATAAAGATTATTAAGCCTTTAAGATATTAATATATTTGTTTAAATAAAAATTATTAAAGTTCTTAATATATTAATCATGAACAAGCTTAAATTAAGGTACAATCTCTAAATTAAAATATTTCTGTTAGAATTTGAATTACAGTAATACTTACTATATAGTTTGATTTTTTGAATTATTAGAGTTTTTTAAAGTTTGGAATTAAAACTCAAGCAGGGAAAACACTAAATACTGAAATATATATCTTATATCTATTCTATATAAATTATCGTTGTTTAAAAGGGAATATTTGGAATTGTACCACAATTATTGTAACAAACACAAAAGTTACGACAATTCATTAAATTTTAGAACTAATAAATATTTAAACTTAATTCTATATCTAATATTTATCTATTAATGATTCTAAAAAGTTGCACAAAGTTGACGGCAAAAAAAACTCATTAAATGTTATAAATGTTAATAAATTGTTGTCTCTAGATTTAAAAAGTTGTAAGTTATAAAGTTATTACGGTATATACAGTCAACTCTTTCTATAATGAACGGAAGAAAAAAAGTTTATTACAGAACCCATGTCACTTTTTATACCGAACTATTATGAACTTACAAAATTTTGAGTTCGTTATATCCAGAGTCGACTGTATTTACATCAAAATATATATTGAAAAAAACAATGCTTACGTGAATTCTATTATATATCTTTAGTCTATGAGAAACATATTGAACATAGTGACAATAATAAAATATTCTTATTATCATAATACGAACTAAATGTATGAATATTTTACGTAATTATTATCGAAGCCCGATTAAATCCCATTACATCATTACAATTGAACTTACCACTTGTCTAAAGGTTCGTAAAACTCATAACAAAGTGTCAAAGTATACCTGTGATTCCAGTTTTTCAAATTATTTAAACCCAAAATGTGTCTTTTATTACATCCTAAATGTTATAACAACAATTCGATATAAATCAATTCTAGCTTTTGATTGGATTAATTAATCAAAAATTTTAAACTCTTCACACCTTATTTACCACCATTTCAATTTCCTGCTTTCAATACTCTTATGTCGATTCCGCTCAATAACAATTTGTCGTTCTATTTCCTTAATTTCTGCTTTCAATATATCTTGTGCTTTTCGAGCACCATTTTTCATCAGATCATTAGACTCCATTCGCATCCTTCTAATTTCTTCTTCCATTTTCCAAATCTGCTCTCTTATATTATTAATGGTCTCTAAATATTCCTCCACTATTTCTTTATTCACTTTACCATCTTCTTTACACCTTTCGAACCACATTAATACTTGTAACTTCGGAATTGTTTTATTTGCTTCCTTTTCAAAAATTAGTTTTTCTTGCGTTAATTTTATAGCCTGCTCTCTTAATAATTCAGCTCTGTGTCGGACTTGTTTTGGAATATCTGCAATCAATAAATATTTTGAACATCTTTTATCTTCTAATGATGCAATTCTTTTGTCCAAGCATTTTAATGTAACATATTTATTAAGGTAGAAAAGTGCCGGAAAGGCAACGGCTATAAGGGCACTAGCACTAAAAGCAAGGGTTGTGATTTCGCGAATATTAAGAGACATAATTATTGGACGATTAACAAATATAATAACTAATCTAAATCTATGTTAAAATAAACGTCAATCCGATCAAAAATGCTCATCAAAACAATCTTGTCAATTATAAAATTTCTAAGCGAACATAATTTTTTTTTCCTTTCAGATAATAAATGATGTGTATCTAACTAAATATCATCATTTTTGTTCTTTTCAACCCGGACGGTTTTTATTTGCCCTTACAAAAAAGAAGTGAAAAAATGTCAAGAGCATCATACTTCATTCAACCATGATCTCCGTATTGTTACACAGTGACCTTATTTTAACCGTCAAGCGTTACATTGTACAATGGGAACAATATTCAAACAATCGCGATTAACCATATTTAGAGGTCTCATGCATATTTGTAATGTCACTATGCATAAATCTAATAGCTTTGAAACATACTGACGATAATATATAAGAGTCTAAATGATTTTAAAGAATTGTGTTTACTAGTCTTTCCATCTTAGTATGTATAAACTAATCGATATATAAATTTCTCAGTCTACTGATATGCAGTATGATAATGTGATTTATTATTTAATTGTCCAAAGTTGATCATTTGACGTCAGCCTGTTGGTAAATTCCTGGTTTTGATTGGTTGTTTATAAATGCAGATTATTTTTTATGCTAGATTAGTAACTCAATATATAGTTTCATTAATCTAGTGCATATACTTATATATATATATATATTTGTATCCCAATATATTAAATCTAGGTGCTGCACAAAAATGCACGCAGATTTATGATTTTGATTGGCTATATTACATACAATGCCCGACAAAAGTTTTTTCGCTCCGTAGAACTTCTAAAACCGTACGTAGCATCTTCAAACTTTCTGAAAACAAAGAATACCTTAAATGCATGTTCTTATACTCTAGAGGTCGGTAAGTTCTTTTACTAGGTACCTATTATATAAATCTTGTGAGAATTCAAATATGTAATTACTGTTTCGGATCGTAATTAAATCGGATTAAAATGAAATTTAGAGTTTTTGTTTAACCTTTTAAAATCCACTTATGCTTGTTTATTATAAATTCTACGTACCCTAAAGCCAATCCCTAATAGAGATGCAAAATCGGCTGATCGGCTCTATTGATTAATCGGGTTTTATTATCGTTATACTGAATATACAAGCCGATCAGCCGATTTTGCATCTCTAATCCCTAATGCTAAAAAAACTAAACAACATATATTCTAAAATTTTATACACGTATTTTTTGGTAGCTTGTCTATTTTACACTATACAAATTTTCATTTTATTTAATTTGCTATAATTATTAAATAATTTTTTTTTTTTTAATTTTTATATTAAATCCAATGTGGGGGTGTAGTCATGGGAACCATCTCCATTTCGGTATAGGCCTAGCTCGCAGGTAAAAGTAGCCCAAAGTCTCGCTACTAAAAAATTAGGTTGGCGTTACAGAAAAAACATTAAAAGTCAGAGGACTTAAATAGGGTCCCACAAGCGGATCTCAGGTATGACAATTAGCAGGTAACCTGTGGGCGGAACCTTTAAATAGACAATGACTAACACCTAATAAAATTTGACAAACATAGAGTTTTCTCTTTAAACTAAAAAAAAAAAAAATATATTAAATTTTCTTAAGATTAATGCAATTAATTTCAATATTTTAAAAATTATTTTTAAATTTTACATAGTTATAAAATTTAAAAAAATTTTAGATGATTTTTATTAAAAAGTTATTAAAATTTTGTTTTAGATTTTGTTTAATTTATATAGTTAATTTTATACAAATAAATAGTTAAAGTTGTACAAACTAATAATCAAAGTCTTATATTTGAATAGTCAAATTAATATCCCGTAAACTACAGTGGGGTAGCATGGCATTATGGACACTTTTTGAAATTTTATATTGAGCTAAATAAATAAGATATAAATCTAAAAATTATACAAAGTATTAT